GGTTGTTGCTGCTCTTGGTGGGGTGTCTGCTGCTGCTGCTGCTGCTGCTGCTGCTGCTCCTGCTGCTGCTGCTGCGGGGCCGCAGCTGCTGCAGCTGCTGCAGCCCGCTGTGTCGCTGCTGCTGCTTCGCGAGGTCGCGGTGCAGGCGCTGCGACAGCAGCTGCAGCAGCAGCAGCGGGCCCATGCTGCTGCTGTTTCCTTGCTAGGCAAACTCAAAACAGCAGCAGAAATGTTCTCCATCACGCTGTTGCTGCTGCTGCTGCCGCAGCAGCAGCAGCAGCAGCTACACACCGCGGCTGGCCGAAGCGCTGCAGCTGCTGCAGCAAAGTGCTGCGCGAACCCCTTCCCGCTGCTGCTGCGGACGCCTGTTGCAGCAGCGAAGTCCGCAGCAGCAGCAGCAGCAGCAGCAGCAGCAGTAGCAGCAAATCGGCTCAGAGGCCTCTTTGGGCTTGCGGCTCCTCACGCCGCTAGTCCTTCTCTCGTTAGCTGCTGCAGCAAGCTGCTGCAGCAGGCAGCAGCACGAGCTGCTGCTGCTGCTGCTGCTTTTGTCGGCGGCGTTGATAGATTTGCTGCTGCCGCTCGGGACGCGCAGCTGCTGTCGCCTGCTGCTGCCAGCAGCAAAGCTGCTGCTGCACTCGCTGCTGCCGCTGCTGCTGCGCGTCGCCGCCCGCTGCTGGTGCGTGTGGGCCTGCGTACTGCAGCAGCAGCAACAGCAGCAGCAGCAGCAGCAGCGCGAGGCGTTGCAGCAGCAGCAGCAGCAGGAGCAGCAGCTGGCCACCGCCTCTGCATGCACCCCCGAATAAAGAACTTTGCTGCTGCTGCTGCAGGCCATCGGTGGGTGCAGCCGTTTGTTGCTGCTGCTGGAACAGCAGCAGCAGCAGCAGCAGCAGCAGCAAACAGCAGCGCAGATGCCCTGAGGTGTACATACGTCAGGGACCGCCCGTCCTTACTTACTGTTGCTGCTGCTTCGCTGTGGCTTTCTGCTGCTCTTGCTGCTGCTTCTGCTGCGGAGTATATAGGAAAGGCCCTGCTGCTCCCCTAGCAGCAGCAGCAGCAGCAGCCGCAGCGGTACTGGCGGTAGCAGCAGCAGCAGCAGAAACAGCAGCATCTGCTCAGACAGTAATTTGTTTTTTAAGGCAGCTCTTATGGTTGCAGCTGCAGCAGCAGCAGTAGCAGCAGCAGCAGCAGCAGCAGCAGCAGCTAAAAGTGCATAGAGTGGCTCTCAGGAAGAGCAAAATGAAAAACTGAACAGCATATAGAATCCGAAAATAAACAAATAAACAAATAAATAAATAATTTTCCAATTAATTAGTAATTGAAAATTAAATCAAAAGGAATTAAAACGGGGGTTATTATAGTGCTGCGTAGCAGGAAACAGAGGGCATGCAGCGGAGCAGCAGCAGCAGCAGCAACAGCAACAGGGGCAGGAGCAGCAGCAACAGGGGCAGCAGCAGCAGCTACAGGGGCAGCAGCAGCAGCTACAGCGGCAGCACTAGCGGGAGCAGCAGCAGCAGGGGCGCCACGAGCATAAACACAAGCAGCAGGGACAGCAGCAGCAGCGCCACCAGCAGCAGCAGCAGCAGCTGCTGCTGCTGCTGCTGCTGCTCGGCTGATACAATAAAGAGGAAGCAGTTAAAATGGCTGAGGCGGCTTTAATACTAAAAACGTCATTCAAATAAATAAAATAAAAGAATAAAAGGAATAAATAATTAATAAAAGTAAATAAAACAAAAAATAAAATAAATGAAATAATAAAAAATAATAAAATTAAAAATAAAATTAAAAAAGAAATGAAATGGAGATACACCTCGGCCAGCGACGCGGCTGCTCTCTTCCATTTTTAATTTTAAAAAAGTTGAAGGGGGGGATATTGATTATTAAATTAATTTAATTAACTTAAATTAATTAAATTAAATTAATTCAATTAATTCAATTAACTTAAATTAAATAAATTAATTAAATTAAATTAATTAGATTAAATTAATTAAATTGTATTTGTTTATTTAAACTAAATGAGGCCCAAAATTGCATTTAATTTAAACCCAAATAAACGCGCCAGCCAGTGGGGCCCCCACGGGAGCCCCCAAGGGGCTGAGGGGCCCCCGGGGGGCCCCCATTTATTTTGCATTTAATTTGCATTCTTTTGTTTAAAAATAACACAAATAAAAACAAAAATACCAATTATTGACATAATTAAGTTAAAAATGAAGTCGAGGGTTTAGGGGTTTTAGGGTTTAGGGCCTGGGGTTTTTCCAGGGTTTAGGGTTTGCTGCGTTCGCTGGTCCTTTTCAAAACTTTCTGCAAGTTCTTCAGAATATTCTTTTTATTAATAATAATTATTTTCAAATTCAATTGAACTGATTTGCCTTCGTTCATTCAGCTTCGCGGCTTCCAGTCTGGATCGGGGTTGTTCTTCCCGAGTGTACATACACTCGAACTCTTGGCGGCAGCGCAGGCCCTCTGCGGCTGCTTTCCTCCATTTCTTTTCATTTAAATTTCTTTCTTTCTCGAATTAATGGAAGAAGAATCGATTTTTGGTTCATTTGACGCGGCGGGGGCCCCGGGGGCCCCCGGCGGGCTCCCAGACATAGGCTTTTCAAGTTTTGCAGAAAGTCGGAGTTCTGCGGCTGAGGCCCCTCTTTTGCTGCGCAACGAAAACGCAAACGAAGACAAAAATGAAGTGGACCCTTTGGCAATCAAACTGGCGGCGGAAATAAAAGGTTTGTTTGCAAAAACTGAAATCGTTTCGCCAGCTGTTGCTGCTGCTGCTGCTACTGCTGAGGTGTACGTACACCTGAGGAATGCGCACTGTTGCAAGTTGACGCGCCGCCGGCTCGATTCCGTTGGTTTGTGCATCATTTTTGTTTATTTTTGTCTGAAATATATGTAATTTTGAATTTAAAGTTCGATTTCGAGGAGCTTTCCGCTTTTTTGTGGCGCTTTCCACCTGTTTCCCGCTGCTGCAGCTTCCGCGGCGAAGGCCGCCGCCGCGGCGGCGCGACCGTGCGCAGTTTCGCTGCGAGTGACGAATCTGCGGCAAATGGAGCTCGAAGCTGCTTCTGGAGAAAATTTAATTTCTTTATTTTCAAATTTGCTGCAAAATTTGGAAAAAATGATTCAAATTGCGCAGCAGCAGAAGCAGCAGCTGCTGCAGCAGCTCAGTCGCGAAGCCAGGACAGTCTGTGAGCAAGTCGAAACCCTCGCCGCCAAACCCTAAACCCTAAACCCTAATCCCCGCCCCGGAAACCCCAAACCCTAGAACTGCCCCCTGCAAACCCTACGCTCTAATCCCGACCTCTCCAGACGCTAAACCCTGAAGCCTTAGTTCGGCTTCTGCAAACCCTAAACCCTAAACCTTAGACCTGAGGGGGTGATCCCAAAACCCCAGAATCTGGAACCAGTCTTTCTAAACCCTAAACCCTAATCCTATTTCTCAAAACCCCAATTTCTTGAAGCTGCAGACCAAAACCCGAATTATCCGCAGGGCGCGGTTTTATTTTACAAGTTTTTGAATTCCAAAACCCCAAACCCTGATTTAGGGGTTTCCGCCGCATGCACCGGAGGCCTAGGGCTGGCCAGGGAGTGGAGCTTTTCAGAACCCCAAACCCTAAACCCTAGCAAACCCTAAACCCTAAACCCCAAACCCTACGTCGCCGCTGCTGCGCCGCCGCCGACGGCGGCCGCTCCACCGCCAGCCCCAAACCCTAAACCCTAAACCCTAAACCCTAAACCCTACTCTGTCGCGGGGAATCAGCCGCAGCTCGCCCCCGTGTTTCAAAAAAATGACTCCGGCTGTTTGCTGAGGGTTTATGCCAACTCCATCGTTGGTGATGCATGCGCAAGTTGCTGCGTTTACTTTGAACTGCAAAATAAAAAAAGAAAGAAAAGAATTATATCAAGTCCCCAAACCCTAAACCCCAAACCCTATACCCTAAACCCTAGGGCAGCAGCAGCCGCCGCCCTATTCGAACAAACGCGCCGCCCAAAGACCAAATACTCGGGAAACCCCCGACAAACCCTAAACCCTAAACCCTAAACCCTCGTTGGCGTGAGGTGTACAGACACTGCAAGGAGAAGACAAAAGGGCTTTCTGCTGCCATTAATTCAAAATATCAAAAGGAAGAAAAAAATGATTTTTAATTATCAAAGAAATGAACAAAAGAAAGAAAAAGAAGAGGATTAGATAAATTGTGAATTTGAATATTCATTTTCTTAATTCCATTATTCCGAAAAGTGAAAAGACACTCTCCCCAGGCCGTCCAGGCGTACGTACACCTCGGAAACTCCAAAGAAAATCAAATTCAACAAAAAGCACTTCAAGAAGCAGCAGCAAAAGCGCAGAGACTTCCGCTGCTGCAGTCCCCGCTGCTGCAGTGCTGCAGCGGCAGGCAGCAACATGCTTGCTGCAGCTTACCCTACTGCTGCTGCTGCTGCTGCTGCTACTGCTGCTGCTTCAGCTCCTACCTCTTCAGCTGCGAATTTGATGACGGCGGAGAAGGGAGTGGCGTCGGGGACGGAAAGAACTTTGAAAGGCTGTTTGCTGTCGGAGGCGAGGGTGATTTTGAAGGTGACTTTCCCGCTGAACGCAAAGAGGGCAACGAGTCGGGAAAGCTGGGGGAAACGCGCGCCTCCCCGCGAACCCGCCACATCAAAATGAAGGAAATTCAATCCTAAATTCGAATTTCACGAAAAAGAACGAAAAAAGCCACTCAAAACTGACAGATCGGCGAAGTTTACCCTTTTTCAGACATCCTCGCAGGCACGGCCGACTGGTCTCAGGTGTATGTACACTGCAACTGCGCCTCGCGCCGGAGCTCTTCAGCCTTCCGTCAGTTTAAATTAAAAAAATAAAAGAAATAAAAAGCTGCAAAGCTTTTCAGTTTTTATCCTTTTGTTCTCAGAGACTCGGAAAGAAGTGCTTTGCGGCCGCTTCCGCATGCAAGGGCCCCACGGTACGCCTACTTGAATTTTCGGAAAACCCTAAATTGGGGTTTCTTTACGCGTTTTCTCCCGCTTTTCTTCCTACAAACCCCTTTTTAATTCATTTTTTGCAATTTCAAGTATTTATAGCCATGAACTTCTCCACTGAGGCCTCTCTATCGCCTTTCTGAAAGAAACGGCCAGCATGAATTTCTCTGCAGACTCGAAGCCTCAGGTGCAGCAGATCTGCGAACAGCTAATCGACAGTGAGCCCTAAACCCTAAACCCTAAACCCTAAACCCTAGACCCTTATCTGGACTTCCTAAACCCCAAAAGCAAAACCCTTTCATTATTTCCCCAGCTCGAAACCCTATGAGCGAACTCGGGAGCGAACTCCCGAGGCTAGCCTTCACCCCACTGAAGTAAACCCTAAACGCTGATTCCTAAACCCCAAACCCCAAGCCCTAAACCCTAAACCCTAAGCCGTAAGTTCCGAATTCTGTTTTTGCTCGCTGCAGAGTTTGCTGCCCGTTTGGTGAAAGATACTTCTTTGTCTCTCCCTGAAGAGACACAAGAAGAGTTCCTCAAGGTAAAACAACAAAACTAGGGTTTAGGGTTTAGGGTTTAGGGTTTGGGGTTTAGGGTTTACGAGGACTTAGGGTTTAGGGTTTACAGTGTGGAGTGTTCTCCAATAAATTTGCGACGCCGGGGTCAACTGCTGTTGGTGGAAATGCAGGAAAACCAACACTAGGGTTTAGGGTTTAGGGTTCGGTATTTGGGATTTAGGGTTTAGGGTTTAGGGTTTAGGGCTGGGGCTGTGTTGCAGGCATGGAGAGAAGGCACGGCTGAACGACTGCGTGACCAATCTCTCTCTTTCCTTCAGGTGACCCTAAACCCTAAACCCTAAACCCTAAACCCTAAACCCTCACCCTAAGCCCTCACTTCAGACAGCAATGGATAAAACGCTAAACCCTAAACCCTAAACCCTCGAAGTGTGTTTTTGTGGCAGCAGGACAGCAGCAGCCTCAACTCACAGCCAGGAGGCTCCCCAGCTGCACAGAGGTGCGGGCCCCCAAACCCTTAATCCTAAACCCTAAACCCTAAACCCTAAGAGCTGCAGCAGTAACTGGGGTTTGAGGATTAGGGTTTGTGGGTAAGGGTTTAGGGTTTAGGGTTTAGGGTTTGGAAGGTCTCGTGGGTTGCTGCAGTCAGGGCAGCAGGCGAAGGCGGTTAAGTGAAGACAACTCCGACGGTATGAGGGTTTAGGGTTTAGGGTTTAGGGTTTAGGGTTTGGGCGTCAGCTATGGGGGAGCCCGGGGGTTTGTTCAACTCAAGGGACTAGGGTTTCGCGAGGAGCGCTGCACACACCTTTTGTTGCAGCTGACGAGGGTTTAGGGTTTAGGGTTTAGGGTTTAGGGTTTAGGGTTTAGGGTTTAGGGTTTGCGCGCAGACGAATTTGAGGGGGCCAACCTCGACAGCGCAGGGCTAGGGTTTTCTTTAGCAGCAGCAGAAATTGAATTTTTGCAAAACCACAAAATAGGGCCTCCGCCTTTAGAGGATTTAACTCCTGCTGCTGCTGCTGCAGCAGCAGCAGCACAAGACCGGGTCGTGGGACATCTCGGCAAGGTCCTAAACCCTAAACCCTAAACCCTAGCAGCGCAGCAGGCCGCCTTTAGAGGATTTAACTCCTGCTGCTGCTGCTGCAGCAGCAGCAGCACAAGACCGGGTCGTGGGACATCTCGGCAAGGTCCTAAACCCTAAACCCTAAACCCTAGCAGCGCAGCAGGCCGCCTTTAGAGGATTTAACTCCTGCTGCTGCTGCTGCAGCAGCAGCAGCACAAGACCGGGTCGTGGGACACCTCGGCAAGGTCCTAAACCCTAAACCCTAAACCCTAAACCCTAGTTGCTTCAGTGCTTCTCGCGCTGCACTAATTCAAATTTTTTTAATTTTAGAACTAAACCTATC